TGAATGAAAGAAACTAGCCAATTCATCAGGAATTTTTCCTTCCTTCATTATCATATAGGCCTTAAGGGCATTCAATGTTCCTTGTAGTTGGGATTCCAAAAGATTGAACTTTTGTTTGCACTGGTTAGAACATGATGATGATGAAGCAACATTGGATGAAGAGAGGCTCAAATCACTAATTCGAAGTCTAGTATTACGAAATGTATTAGTAGGAGCTGCCCCCATACCCATGCATCTCACTCTCCCAGAGTGTTCTGGCCCAAACACTCTACCAACAACATCATTAGGAGAAATTTCAGATTCATCTGTAGTGCTTTGGGTCATACCAACTTCAATTTGTTCCTTTAATATGCATGCAAATCAATAACAAAGTTAAGAATATTGAAATGTGAAATTTGTGAAAACAACAAACAAAGGTTATACTTACCCCTATTGTCTTTGCTGCATCATTTACATAAGATCCATCCTTTCTCTTATGAGTTTCAATAAACAGTTTTCCACGACTAGGATTTTGACCAGTTTCCAAAAACTAATATGGGAAAAGAAAAGGTAAAAATGGGTATTTAATTTTGTAAAGTAGTAAAAAGTTTCAGCTTTAGTGTGATTACCATCTCATGCCTTCTTCTTTCATTGGACTTAGAACCACCTGTATGTGGAATTTTTTGCTTGCCTCGAATTTCTTTATTCCTTCTACAAAGCTCCTATGAACAATGTTAATCTCATGGTAAGGATCAAATATTTAGGGATATTAACAAAACACCAAGAAAAGTATCAAACTCTTACCAATGTTGATGGTTTCATTCGATAATTAACAAAATGAGCCCATTGATCCTTATCTATACCTACTGGCACATTACTTATAATTTCATCTCTAGTCTTGGTAGGATCATTGAACTCATTCCATAAACTTTGCCTGAAGGCAGCCCACTTCTTTCCAATACTAAGCTTACAATATCGTATTACAGTAGCTTCAATGGTCCTAAAACAATATTTTGGCTTAAAAATAAAATAGTCAGTTTTATGTCATTTACATGTATCAGTAAAATAAGTAGCGATAAAAAGTTATATATGCATAATATTTCATACCTTTAAGATTGTTAAATAACAATCATCAAAGTAACATTTAGGCATGCCTATATCAGAACGGGTCGTTCCAACGTGGCTAAAACACCTAAAAATGCAATATCGGAACAGGCCGTTCCAATACCGAAACGGGCCGTTCTAATATCGGAATGGGTCGTTCCAATACCGGAACAAGCCGTTCCAATACTGGAACAGAACGGGCCGTTCCAGGGTGCTTAATTTAAACATAACGTTCAGATCCAGAACGGGCTATTCCGAATCCAGAACGGGCCGTTCCGACCCACATCTGATGCCTATAAATTGAAGCCTCGGGCACAATTCTCAAGGCGGCCAGAGAAATTTCGAATAAGACTCCTTTGAGCACGAAAATTCTCTATCTCTCTCCCTTCTATTGTATTTCTTGAGATTTGTGTCGCATCTCTTTTTTCTCTCTCCTTCCTATTGTATTTCTTGAGATCTGTGAGACATATTGTAGTGTGAAAGGTCGCCACAAAGCACCTTTTTCATATTTGAAGATTCAATAAAGCTCGTTCAAGAGGTATTTCAATCAATCTTCCTCTCTCTATTTTATTTTGTTATCTTTAATAAATATTGTTATATTAAAAGCAATCATGTAGACATTTTTGAGTTAATTGTATAATTTAAATTTCAAGCATGTAAATAAATATATTAATAAAGGGGATTAAATATTTAAATTATTAATTCTTATCACGTTAACTTCATCATAGGGTACCGATTGAGGGCGCTGTAGGGGTGCTTAATACCTTCCCTAAGAACACTTAAGGAGAGATGGAGATACACCAAAGGCACTCCAAGACACTCCTTAATAAAGGCCTTGTACAAAAATTTAGAAATTAAAAGATTACAAAGATGAAATGTAAATTTACACCAAATGAAATGCAAATTCACATTCAAATGAAATGCAAATTTACACCAAATGAAATGTAAATTCACTTAAAGAAAATTTAGTGGCTGCACCAAGAATTTTAGAAACAAAAATCAGCCACTAATTTAGTGACAACTTTAGTGACGGATTTGGTATTGAAATTTTTGAAGAAAAATTTCCGTCACTAAATTTGTTACTAAATTCTTCACAAAATTTTCACAAAAATTTTGCTCCTTCTTTCTCCAATTCAGCCACCTAGCTTGCAGCCTCTCAATGTGTTTCATTCCTCTTTAGAAGCAACCTTGATGATGGTTACTCCTAGGTGTTTGAATTTCCAAGAATCCAATCCAATGAGAAACAAGCTCCTAGGTCACCACCAAAGTCCTTCAATTTGGCTAACCTTGAGCTTGGCCTTCAACACCTTCCAAGAGGCACTCAACACACCTTAAGATGCTGGAATATTAGTTCAAAAACTGAAAAGGAAAAATTTAAAATGGCTACACCAAATGGTAGAGTAAAATGTGACAAACTAGAAGGAGTTTCACAAAAATGACAAGCAACAAATAAAGCACTATTTGAAAGCTAGTACACAAAGGAATTCCTAACAAAGGCACTAGAATGGATTACAAAATAGAATCTAAGATTAGAAATGAAAATAAGACACAAAACATGTGGCTGGACTGAAAATTTGAGCACAAACACACACCAAAAACCGAGAGCTAGTAAACTAGTTTTTCACTCCTTTTGGCTTCTTCTTTTGCTATTTTCTTTCTTTTCTTTTTGCAATATATTTTTCAATTCTTTTTCATTTAACAACCAGGATTTTTAATTCCTTTTTAACATATATGAAACTCAGTTTTGATGAATTAAAACTGCTTCAAATTTTTTTACACAAAACAAGAGGTTTTCACATGCATCATGATAGCAAAACTAGGAGAAGTGAAGGAAGTTCTTCTCCACGGATTTGCTTAGGCCGGATCTTCTTCAAATGAGACTTGATTCTTCAATTAAGAACTCTTGAAGGATTTGGAATTCTCGGAGGAACTCAACCTAAGATTAGGAGGGAAGCATCCAAGCTCATGCATCAATGGATCCTCACTTCAAAGAGAAGGAAAGAGAGAACTCTCCTAAGATTTTGAGGTGAGAGATTGGAGACTTTTGAGAGGGGAAACTCGGCCAAGGGCTCACAAATTTCAATTATGTTCAAAAGTGATACAAAAGACTAAGGAGGTAGCATATATAGCATCCGGAATTGGCTCACACTTGGCGCTAATGTGCTAGTCCAAGGTGGCGCCAAGTTTTTGAATTCAAATTTGAATTTGAATTCAAAAACTTAACTCACCTATAGGATCCGGTCACATGAGTGCTTAGTGTTCATTTAGGTGGAATTTGATTAGCATTTAGGGTTGAATTTGTGTCACACTTGTTCAGCCAAGGTGGCGCAAACAATGTGACTCTAAATTCAACTTAAATGCAAATCAAATTTAACCTAATGTTGCCTAATTCTCAACGTTTAATAATTCCTCCTTAAAACCTAATCTAATGACCTAAATACAATGGTCAAACAAATACAATGAAAAGGAAAAATTACAAGAAGAAGAATGAGCCTAATATTGGATATCAAAAGCCCAAAGCCCAAGAAGCCCAAAATTAAGCCCAAAAGCCTAAACCCTAAAATGCTATTCTATGTGGTCCAAAAATACAAGACCAAAATATATGATACCTATACTAACATGATGTATACAAAACATATGAAATTAGCTATAACAAAATATGGCCCATGAAAAGTTCAACTTGGGCCTTCCCAGGCCCATCAGGCCCATTGGGCCCTGACTGGCCCAAACCTTCATGTCTAGCCAACTCCTCTTGGATCTTTGAGTATGTCACCTCTTGCACTCCAAAGCATGATTCCATCA